TTTCCCTACAGTCCTCTGAATAACAGTCCTAAGAGATACAACAGGCATAGACAATCCATTTGTGAGTTAAAAATCAAACGAGCTGGGAAAATTCACCAAAATAAAAATAATTTTAAAAATAAATTTTATTTATTACTTATTAAAACATCTATACCTCACCTTTCATGAGGTTTCAAGGAATATGAAAGAACCCAGGTAATTGTTTTAGTTAAGCAGCTTGCTGAGACCATGTATTCGTAACTTTGTACTCCCTTGTTTAAGAGTATGTTAAATATCACTTGAACTTCTGTTGGCAAAAACTATCACTACACAGTTTAGTCTATATGCACATTTGCTGTTTTCTGGGAATGAGTTAACTCACAGGATGTTTCTCTGCATATAACAGGAGGATATTTATTTCTGCAAGGAATGTTTACAGATCTCAGTCCAGTTTTGTTACAATTAGATAGATCCTGAAACTATCTCAGATTTATCACTCCATAGTTCAAACACTTCTTAGGAATGGAGGAAAAAATCCATCCTGTTTAGTGTCAATTATGGGATAACATTACAGATAAGTATTGTGAACACCAAACTCTGCTCCTATGCAGAAATACATAATTATGATATTTTCTGTGAGTTGTGAAAAATCAGAGAAACAGCATTGTATCCTAGCATGAATCTAGACTACAAATTAACTAAACCTATCACAGCACTGTGTGAGTGACGGACTACACTTTAAAAGCTCAGAAGTGCTATGTAAATATGCAGAGGACTGTGAAGAGTTAATGACTCACAGAGCCCGAGAACTTGAGTGACAGGCTGTTCAAAGAAATTGACTGGTTAGTATCATAGAGTTGGAAGGGACCTCCAGGGTCATCTAGTCCAACTCCCTGCAAAATGCAGGAAATTCACAAATACCCCCCAAACCCCTCGTGACCCCTGCTCCATGCCCAGAAGACGGCAAAAAAACCTCTCCAAGATCCCTGGCCAAACTGGCCTGGAGAAAATTGCTTCCTGGCCACAAAGTGGTGATCAGAATTTCCCTGGGTGTGTAAGAAAGGGCCACGAGAACCAAACACTGATGCAATCCTTCCTGCCCTCCCTCTCATGATCTGCCTAAGTTCCCAGAATCAGCATTGCTGTCAGATGGCCATCTAGGTTCTGCTTAAAAACCTCCAAAGGAGGAGAGCCCAGCACCTCCTGAGGAAGCCCGTTCCACTGAGGAACCACTCTCTCAGGAAGTTCTTCCTAGTGTTTAGCCAAAAACTCTTTTGATTTAATTTCAACCCATTGGTTCTGGGGCAACAGAAAACAAAAGAGTTTGAGTTGAGCAGAAAGTTGAGCAGAAAGACTTCAGAGCTGAATGCTGAAAAGAACTCAGTCTGAGTCTAGCCCTGACACAGAAGTGTTAGGTGCTGACTGAGTTTGTGTTTAGCCCTGACTGAAAGCAGTTTAACACAGACGGACAACTGGGAAGGTTGGCAAGGAGGAGTGGGTAGATCAGTGAAGACTCCCATTCGGTCCAGAAAAAGGGATAGATCTTTTAGTGAGAGAAGTGATTCCCTACCCAGTAAAAAAAAGAGACAGCTCTAAGGAATGGAGTGACCCCTAGTCTGGTGTGTTTAGAGACTGCTTTCTGGAAACCAAGAGAGTCGGTTAATACTCAAGAAAGTATACTGGAGTGTTTAGGAAGCACTGAAACAAAAGCCTCTCATCTTAAAGATTCTGTGTGAAAAGCTTAAGAAACTCTCAATTGCTTGAAACATATGAACTGTAGTCTGTGCCTATACTGATTTACCTCAGACATTCTACCCCTGATTTCACCTGACCTCTTCCCCTCTATGTTGAATAAAATATTTTGTTATTATAAGCAGAGGGTGATCTTGTCCCTTCCCTTAAGTTCCTGCGCTTAGCCAGGAGCAAAGTATCCTAATGTGACAGGGTGGGACAGCCGTAGATCTTTAGAGAAGAAGAAAATAGATAGAAGGGGCTGCTCAGTCAGAAAGGGAAGGAAAAATGGAGGGAAAAATCTTGCCTCAGAGTAATTATATACTCTAGGAGCTGCGGTGGCTCAAGTGGTTAAGACGCTGAACTGCAGGCTGTGGAAGGTCGGTAGTTCAGCAGTTCGAGACCCGGGTGCCGCATGATGGCGTGAGCTCCCATCTCTAGTTCCAGCTCCTGCCAACCTAGCAGTTCGAAAGCAAGAAATTGCAAGTAGATAAATAGGTACCACTTCGGTGGGAAGGTAACAGCGTTGCGTGCGCCTTGGTGTTTAGTCATGCCAGCCACATGACCACGGAAACGTCTTCAGACAGCGCTGGCTCTTCGGCTTTGAAACGGAGATGAGCACCGCAACCCTAGAGTCGAATTCCACTGGCTTTCGAGCAAAGGAACCTTTACCTTTAACAAAAGACATTTGGCCCGGGGTGGGCTAAGTGGACTTTTGACATAACCCATAATTCCCAGTGTTAGAATGTAAAAGAACTCACCATCACAAGAACTATATTAATGCCTTCTTCCCTAACTGAAAGATCACAATATATCAACATGTCCAGAGGAGGAGGGTAGGAAAACTTACCTCGATAATCAACTCCAGAATTTAACTTCACAACAACTGGTCTTCCTATTATCTGTTTCAAAAAATCACTTGGGGTTTGTTTCCGTAAACTCATTTTGACAGAATGAGAACCTACATAAAAAAACAGAAAAATAGGGAAATAGCTGAAAAGCGGAACTCAAAACAGATCACAAACGAGCACTCAGCAAACAGAGGCACTGCAGTGGTTCTTAAAAGTGTTCACTAGGGAAATAAATATCAAACGGAAGAATAAAAAAGAGAAATCTTTGTTGAACACAGGCTCAAAATTGCTGTAGTACAGTCATTGTACAAAACTACCCTCTAAACCACATAGAGTCTGATATATTCTTAATAAGCTCCTTCTATGATTATCTAAGACATCTGTTCACCAGACATCATCATTTGAAAACATTCAAAGCAGTAAGGCACAGCTTTTATTTTCCATATGAATTTTTTCCTACAAAAAAACACTTCACAGTACTGTGAAATCCAGATTGTTTTCAGCATTCTGGACATGGATTATATAAAAATAGCTACTCTAAGAAATACACAGGCACACTCAACCTGCACCCACAGCTATTCAGGTTTCTCACTATTATAACTCACTGAGTGATGATTAAGTTCATGAAGCTGAATTGGCAGAAATGCACAAGCATTTTCTAAAAACATTTGACAGATTAAACACACTAAATAACCATTAGGCTTTCCAGTATTTGGTGAAACACTTCAAGTAATTCCCGTAACTTTACTTCCATTTCACTTTTTTTTTTTTTTTGGCAATTGTTTGGATAAAGTGATCTTCTAGAAGCGTGACTCAGCCGTGGATGCATTTCCTCCAATATCACAATAAGTATGATCTATTATAATGTCCTGGTATAAATCAAAGCCTCTAAATCTGCATCACATTTAAATATTCTCTCTAATTTAAGGCTACCAATCAAACAAAAAGTGCCAATGTATCTATTTCACTGCTTCTACAGTAAAAAATAAAGACCAGTTTAATATTGTAAACCTTCACCTGAAGCAACTGCCTTCAGGGACTTATTCTTTAGGAAATGTGGTTAGAATTGCATAGTGTATTTGGAAACAAGGGCATTTTGAAGAATATTTTCCTCACGTACATAAAGCATGGAGTGTACTGCTTCCAATAATAACTCAGTTCAGACATCTTGTATTTTAACTATAGTTAGTCTATGAAACCAGGATTCAGCTTGCAGATGATTGCTCAAATCTTGGTTTGCCATGAGAAAGGCCTTCACCCTGACCAGGTGTCTCGGTAGCTGTGAAGTGTGTGAAGATTAAGGATCAAACAAGGATTAAGCCAAGATGTCTACATCTGTACACTGCACAAAACTATACTTAAGATTTAACTGTGGTTGTCAAACCAACATCATAGTTTCAGGTCCAGGTTTGACAGACCCTAAATAACTATAGTTAACAGAGCAGCTCAGGTTCAATCACACTGATAATTTAATTACACTATGGTAAAATATGCATTAACTGAGACTACATTTCAGATTTAAAGAGGAAAGTGATCTTGGGGGTGTGATGAATAACTCAAAGTCAACCCAGGTAATGTGAAGAAGACAAATTCCATTCCAGGAATATTAAGGGATTGAAAACAAGACAGTCACTATTGTAGTATCTTCACACAGAAATATGGTGCAGCCACAATAAGAATACTATGTAGAGTTCCAATTGTCCCATCTCCCAAAGAATATACTGAAGTAAAAATAAATAACATATTGCAGCACCCTCTCCATGGGGAAAACAAAAGCATTTAGGCTACAGATGTCAAACCTAAGGCCCGCGGGCCAGAAGCGGCCCACCCATAGCTTCAATCAGGCCCATGGCTCTCTTTTCCAGCCCTCACCCCCTCCCCTGCCTGTCCTCAACTTTCCAAGGGAGATCAGGGCTGCCAAACTACCCAGTTGGCTGGGCCTTGTCTTCGTTCATTTTTCCCCCAGGAGGAAGCTCCTCCGGGCTAAAGCACAAAACAAGTGGAAAAGAAAATGAAGAATGGATTTTACTTTAAGGTCTCTGGGCCTAGATAGACTACTCTGGGACTGGAATGACAGCCCCCAGAACGGAATGAGTCCCTGGGAGTAGCAGCTACGTTCTGGGAATGGAATTCCACTCTGGGGGGGCTGTCATTCCAGTTCTGGGCCCAGAAACCTTAATGGAAAATCCATTCTGCATTTTCTTAGCAACTTTTTTTGAGCTGCAATGTATTTCAATGGAGTAGTTTCAGTTTCCAGTGTTTTTATGCCAGTTGAAGTTGTCTGCTTGCAAAGGCCTGATGTTTTCAACTAGATTGTCTCTGCTGAATGGACCTGAGAACAGGTGCCTGCCTGAGTGAGTAGTCTAACCTGGGAATCCACAGCCAAAGGGGGACATTACACTGGAGAGCCACTGCCACTCTGAGTAGACCGGGGGGGGGGGGGGGCCACTCTGAGTAGATGAGGAGGGGAAGGGAGAAGCTTGCAATGCCCACCCATTTCATGTTTTCCTAGGCTCAGAGCATTTTATATTTTTATTTTTAGTGTCTGCTGTGATCCTTGTGCTCTTTCTTGGTGTTTTATTTTAAAAACTGCATTGCCAAATCCCACTATCCCCCCACCTTTCCATTTTAGGTAGGAATCTTTTATGGGTGTGAGGGGGGGAGGTTTGAGAGATGTCAGTTATCAAAGACTGTTAAATAAAATATGGCAAGAATGTTACTGTTTTAAGCATGTTTGTACTTAAAAAAACCCTTTGTGTTTGTCAGTGTCCTTTAGAGAGTTAATATCTTCATTGTTGTTGTTCAGTCGCACAGTCGAGTCCGACTCTTTGTGACCCCATGGACCAGATCACGCCAGGCCTTCCTGTCTTCCGCTGTCCTCTGAAGTTGGCTCAATTTCATGTTTGTTGCATCTATGACACTGTCTAACCATCTCATCCTTTGCCGTCTCCGTCTTCTTTGACCTTCAATCTCTCCCAGCATCAGGGTCTTCTCCAGTGAGTGCTCCCTTCTCATTTGGTGGCCAAAGTATTTGAGCTTCAGTTTCATTATCTGGCCTTCCAGGGAACAGTCAGGGTTGATTTCTTTTAGGATTGACTGATTTGATCTTCTTGCAGTCCAAGGGACTCTCAAGAGTCTTCTCCAGCACCATAGTTCAAAAGAATATATTCTTCGGCGCTCGGCCTTCCTTATAGTCCAACTCTCGCAGCCATACATGACTACTGGGAATACCATTGCTTTGACCATGCGGACTTTTGTTGGCAGGGTGATGTCTCTACTTTTTATCATGCTGTTTAGGTTTGCCATGGCTTTTCTCCAAAGGAGCAGGCATCTTTTAATTTCATGGCTGCTGTCACTGTCTGCAGTGATCTGGGATCCCAGGAACGTGAAGTTTGTCACTACTTCCACAACTTCCCCTTCTATTTGCCAAGGAGTGATGGGGCCGGATGCCATGATCTTAGTTTTTTTGATGTTGAGCTTCAAGCCCACTTTTGCGCTCTCTTCTTTGACCTTGAGCAAGAGGCTCTTTAGGTCCTCTTCACTTTCTGCCATTAGAGTGGTATCGTCTGCATATCTGAGGTTGTTGATCTTTTCCCCAGCAATCTTAATTCCGGCTTGTGATTCATCCAGGCCAGCATTTCGCATGATGTACTCTGCATATATATTAAATAAGCAAGGTGACAATATACATCCTTGTCGTACTCCTTTTCCTATGCTAAACCAATCAGTTGTTCCATATCCGGTTCTAACTGTCGCTTCTTGACCCTTATACAGGTTTCTCAAGAGACATGTGAGGTGGTCTGGTACTCCCATCTCTTTAAGGACCTGTCATAGTTTGTTGTGATCCACACAGTCAATGGCTTCATTACCTGGCATTATATCTTATGACACAGGTGGCCTAGCCCGACAAAGTCCCATTTATGTCAGATCTGGCCCTTGTAACAAATGAGTTCAACACCCCTGATTTAGGCCTTTTTAATTTACAAGATACAAATAAGGGGGGCTTATTTATAAAATTATGTAGTATGTGGAGATAATGGGAGAAACTTCTCTCTCATACTGGAACTCAGGGTCACCCAGTGAATTGATTCCGTCAAGAAACACTTCTTCACATAATGCATATTATTTGATGGAATTCACTGCCAAAAGATGTGGTGACAGCCTCTAGCTTAGATGGCTTTAGAAGGTGGCAAGACAAATGAACAAACAGGTCTGGTTGCTATTCACAATAACTAGACACCCTAGGCAATGTACCTCTATATTAGCTGTTGCAGGATAACAGCTTTTGTTTCCACTGTCTGCTTGTGGTTTTTCAGATGCATCTAGCTAGTCCCTGTAAGAAACATGCTGGACCATGGGCCTATGGGACTGATTCAGCTGGGTACATGTGTTCTTACAGCAGGCTCATCTATTCACGTTTTCCGTCTGATCTGTCTTCCTACATTTCTCCTCTTCAATCTACAAGTGCTTTTCTCCAAGACTCACTGGGATGGCACATGCTATGGGAAAAACCACTTTATTTTGGCTGTCTTTCCCCTCAGATGGCAATTGGGCCACAGCTGAGCAAGCAATCTCAAAGTGCACCTAAGATACAACTATCACACATGCACAGGTGGCAGCACGTAAGCATGACAAGTCTGCAAAACCAGGCATACTAATTTTAAACAGACTCTGTAGCAGTAATCTAGGAAAAAGCAGACCACCTTTTTTCTTCAGATTGAAATTGTCTATTGCAATCCTGCACAAAGATTCCCACTATGACATATGCTTGAGAGTAAAACTAATGGGCCATTCGAACAATATTCACCATTCCCATAACTATAATACACTTTCCACATAGCACTTCCTGATAAGAACCCAAAAGATATCTAGCATTCTTGTTATTTGGCCAGTCCGTTCCAAAGGGCCATTTCCATTTCTGTGATTTTCTTCTTATGTTTTATTCCCCTCCATGCCCCTCCTGCTCTTCACAAAAAGAACCCTGCGTCTGGCCTACATTTCATTATGACCTAACCCGTGCACATGGAGAGGGCCTACTTTATTT